GTTGCATAAGCAGCACAAAGATGAGCTTTATAAAGTTGCATTTAACAGGCCATAATCATCATGGCCAAATGTGGCAAGAAAAATGCCAACAATTTGCACTCAATGTGTGTCTTTCTCTTTCTGATCATTGGCCCCGATCCAAGGCTTATGAAGGCATTTGTCACAGTGCTGCCCCAAACAAAGTGTCCAGCTGTTGTTTGTTGGCAACCAATCAGTGGCGAAGTTCACGCAAATAAATTGCAGGCCATTATGTGCCGCAGGGCGAGGCAAGTTGTGACAGTTGCCCCACGTCGAGATTTTCCACACAATGCAGAGAACAGAACTCATCAGCATCAACATCAAATTGTGCTAAAAGTTTGTCCACACTTGCCATACCGTGCCACCCTAGCCGCCCCTGCCCGCCCGGCCATGCACAACAAGCTTGCATTTTACATTTTCATTGCTTGCAATTCATTGCAACGGCCCCCCTGGGGAGTGGGCGTACTTGGGCTGGTGCTCGGGGACCCCACAGTCTCAATGCAGTCGGCTGCTTGTTGGCAACAACAACAATATTTTTCCTACTCATTTCCTTTCCCAGCAACAACGGAAACATGTTTTGTCAGTGCTCAAGCGCCACATTTAACCCTTGCCACCATCATCTTTATCCCCATCCAGAAGAGGGGCCACAAATCCACTGCCAGACAGTCGCCCAACATTCCACCCAGTCAGGCGCTCAGTCAGGCACTCAGTCAGCCACACAATGCAGCAACAACGACGCGACATGGTTGTTGCTTTTCTTGCTCCTCCTGCTCTTGCTGGTTTGATTGCCGTAGAATTGTAATTTGCGCCAGAACAGAACATCAGCGTCAAATCATTATAATTTCTTCGTCGGGATACTTTTTATTGCCGACTGTCGCTTAAGTCCCAACCGCTCTCTTTCAAATCCACTTCCCCCGTTTCATGACCGTTTAGTTGGCATTTGGCGCGCACTTTGATGTCACTTGACTGAAGGGCCTGAATATTTGACGGGTTTGATTAGAAAGTGTTGATAGGTTTGCGAGTGATTATCAAAGGTTACTCTAGGCCTCTAGCCCTTTGCAGCTATTGATAAAGACTATCTTTATTTACTTAGTCATCGATTACATGCTCAAAACTGGAATTATCGGGCAGGTTACCGTTTACAAATTAAGTCTAATTATGCGAAATTGAAATGTGTTTAAATCCGAAAATCTGTAAGGCTATCGGTTTGAGAAGTTTTTTTTCGATAGTTAATGGGATATTGTTTATAATAAATGAAATCTGCTTAAACGATAACTTTACTGAAAGGTGTCGTTTTTCGCCAGCAAAGCACTTCAGTGGTTTCCGGTGTTAAGTGGTAAGTAGCTTAGATATATGCACTGTAAAAGAACCCAAATGCATCAAAATAAGGCCTTGAGGTAAACAAAAAGTGGCTGTAAAAGTACACTCTCTGTTCAATCTTATACCGAAATCTTGATTACAGTCACTACATTTTCTGATTTCGCAATCAGTGGCCTTTGGAAAACCTCTCCTCCTTTTTTAATAACTTGTTTAACATGATTTTAAGCAAAGGTCTAGTACGGTTACCAAAAGTTAATACTTACTGTTCACATTTATCGAAATAACCACATTCTTGAAAACATTTAATTTTATTTCTCTTTATTATGTTTTCGATATACGCTTTTTGAAAAACGATCTCTAGGCAGGATACATTTTCGATGTTTTGATCAAAAAGTGAAATTTTAAGAGAATATTTTTGTAATCGTTTATGAATTCAGCTCTGAAAAAGGACTGCAAATTAACAACCGTTTTCATTTGTGAATTTACAATTTATGGTTTGGTATTACAGTTAAGCTATATTGGGATTAAGATACGCAGAACATTTCCTTTTCCTAAATAGTTATAAGATGTCTTATATATACATATGTATATATAGACCAGGCGAAAAAGATAAACTTGTAGCCATTAGTAATTCTAGAGAATGCAAAATTACACAAGAAACAGTCAGAATTATGCCAGACATCGTCATCACGAAAATCACGACAAATATTTCAAAGCTTTAAAGATACTTTTTTAATGCTTCATCCTCCGAAGATTTCAATCCAAACTGCTTACAAATTGGTTAATGGTTATAGATATATTGATCTTGCTTTCTCAACACTTGGTAAGTCTTGAATCTCACGCAATAATCTTGATAGCTTGGGAAAGATAAGTATTAAGGATGCATTATTGTTCGGAATTACAATTTTTACTTTCGTAAGATTAATATAATTTTGAATTATTTTTCAATGAGTGGACAAATGTACTAAATAACATTTTTCGCCTTTATAGAACATGTTTTCTTACTTAATATTGACCATTATATAAAATTCGTGCCATTATTAATTATTTAATGCTGATTGTTGATTCGAAAGAAGTAAAAATAACAAAATTCAAAAGCCAGTCATACATTTTACAAAACTGCGCAACAGTCAACAGCCCTGGGCTTGTTGTCCTTGCTGCTTTGGCCGGGGCTGGTCATAAAATATGGCCAACACGGACACAAACACACACTCATGCATAGGAGTCCAAACATACACATATAAGTACTATACATACGGTCTGCATGTGTTTTGTTGTTTGCTCTGTCGGCGCGTCCTTTTATGGCTCTTGTTTTGGGCTTTTTAATTGCTGCAGTTACAAACGTGCGACAACATGTCCGAGCCACACCCCGCACATCACAAACACACACACACACTCACAAACACGCACTCACACATAGAAGCGCTTTGAGTAACTAAATAAATTGCCCAATGTTGGTGACACTTTCCTGGCCAAATATTTGCTTTTCTGCCCTGCACATCGCTGCAGTTGCCAATTTGCAATGTTCGCCCATTCTCAGAAGTTGTGCAATCAAAAGCCAAGCCCACACACTGTATAGCACATCCATTACATTTTCGAATCAGCCCTACGCTGCTCTAGCTTGGAAAATTTCTATTAATTTTGTCAGGCTAATTTTAAGCTCCGAGCCGGCGGCAAAGACGCCCACGTGGAATGCGTGTTACTCGCTCCCGATTTATGTCACTTTCATGGCAATTTGCCTTACGGTGAAGACGACGATGGTGACGCGACGCGACGCCCACGGCTGATATCTTGATTATAAGTGGAAATGTCCCCCAAGTTTCAGGAACGCGAAAGCAGACCAACAAACATGCTCGTACGGAGAAACTGCCTGCAGAGCTCTTGCAAAAATTTTAATTTTTAAGCAGGCTTTTATATATGTTTGGGTGTGCAATGCACGCTGGTTTTTGTGTAGGCGTGGGTGTGAATGAGTGTGTGTGTCTGTGTGTGTGTATGTCAGGTGCTATAAAAGTTCGGCTGAGTTAGAAGTCAACAAGCTGGAAACTATCACCTAAAGTGGTCCGCCGACCCGCCCGCCATTAAAGTGGCGCCCAATTAATTGACAGTCAGATGATAATGGGAGACGAAAATAAGGTGCAAGGGTATTTTGGTTAAGTTGTGTTTTCATAAAATAAGTTCGGTTACTTTAGCAGTTCCATTCGGTATTATCCGTTAACGATTTTATCAGATAAAATTAGTTTTAGGAATTAAAGTTAGAATGTTCGAATTGGAAAAGGAGCGGATTTGCCAATCTGAATAAAAACTAAAAAAAATGTTGCACCATTTTTTGGTCCTCAAATTATTTTGTCACTAAACACGAGAGTTTGTACTTGGGACTATTTAGTTGCAGTTGCATTCGGTATAGTCCGAAATCTGATTTAAATCGTTTTAATTTAATTTAGTAATTGAAGTAAACATACTTGAATTGGAAAATGAACGGATTTACCAATAAGAATAAAAGCTACAAAGAATACTGTGCAATTTGTATTGCCTTCAAATGGTTTTTGTCACCAAACGCTTGATCGAAAAACAAGTTTTTGTTAGGTAGCCGACAAGAATAGCAACTAAATAAAATTTTTTTTTTTATAATGTAATATAATCGGGATTTAAAATGGGCGTCTGATCAGATAGGGACATTTTTAGAAAATGTATATTTTCTAAAGAATTCTGGTATTAATTGTATCGTGGTATACTTCCCTAAATCCTAAATCCATTTCTGAATTAAACAACTGTAACAAATGGATATCCTTTTCGCGGAGTATTCGAAACCTTTTGTTCGGAAAGCAAAACACCTGACGGCGCCATTAATTAGATAATGAATGTTGGGCTGGTTGGTAGGGCTAGAAAAAAAAACTGTTTATGCGCATTTGGCATTGATTTTGCTTTGCCTGACTACCCGCCCAGACAAAGGACAAAGTTTTTCCTTCTCTGCCTTCATTCTGCGCTCCATAAATTTGTAGCGGAAATGCCGAAGGGGCCGGGCTGCCTAATTGGCAGACTATTCTGTTGGCCATATGGCAAAGTTGCGAGCGAACTATGGCGAACGAATAGCGATAAATAAAGGTGCAAAGCGCAATGGAAAAACTGTGTATATTGGCCATGCTGTAATAAAAAAGCCAGCAACAACAATGAATTGCTCGACCAACAAGCCAAATTGAGCATGATCAGAGTGAAGAAGAGAGTGAAAGAGAGCAGAAATCAGGGAGGGGAGAAACAAGTAAGGTTGGGATCTGAATCACTGAAGCGACTCAAAGAACCGCAAGTCCAGTTTGTTTTAGCGCGAGCACCACGTGACCAACAACAACAGCTATGTATATAGCAATAGCAACAGCAACAAAAACAATGCCAATAACTGGCCGTGATTATTTGCGCTATGTAGTATAGAGAAACAAGTGCCGGTGGGCAGAGAGAAGAGAGGAGAGCGACGGCGGAGGCGTTGGCGAGCCAGTTAATTTGCCAACGAGACAATTTGAACGCAACGGCCGCTGATTGCAAAACTCTTTGCCATAGGTGTGAACGATAGGTGTTTGTGTGTGTGTGTGAGTGTTATGAGAGTGTTTGTATGTGTGTGTGTGGGTTGCCGATAAGCAAAAATCTACTTGGAAACAGCTGACGAAACTCACCTCCTGCGTTATATCCAGCTCATGTTTTGTGTTGTCATAGAGCGTCTCGAGCTCGTCGCATTTCTGCTCCAACGCCGACTTCTCCTCCAGCAGTGAGAGACCATATTGGGCCGACTGGGCGCTCGCACTGGACACCTGATCGAGTTCGCGTGTCAGACGCTCTACTTCCATTTGCAGCTCCAGAATGGTTTGGCCACCATCTGTGGCAGCATCGTTCGTGGCCGACCCACTATTGGCGCCGGACATGATCGATAGAGGGACAATCAGCTGGTGGGGATTGCGGGAGGAATGTGTGTGAGTGTGTTAAGATGGCAGCGTTGTTGTTTCTGCTGCTCCAACAGGCGGACGGTCAAATACTGCAGCCGTGGGCGTGGCAATTGCTCCTCTTGTTGCTTGGGCGGAATCGTAAGTTTGTTGTTGTTGCGTGTGTGTGGGTTTAATTTTTATTTCGTTGATTTTGGAGGGAAATCAATACAAGTGCCGGACGTTGAGCGTTTTTTTTTTTGCTGCTGTTGCTGCTGCTTCTGTTGATGCGGGCTGCTACTGCCCGCTCCCAAAATACAAACTCACACACACACACTAGCATAGACGGCACTCATAACTCCACACACAATAAAACGTTCGCTCTGTGTGTGTGTGCGTGAGCGTGTGTGTGTTCCGTTTCACCTTTTCTCTTTCGTGCAAAGTGGAATGAAAATTGGAATTTTTCTCCAATGCGCCCTAAATGTGTTTCACTTGTCGCACTTTAATAAGCAAATTACCGTTTAACGAATAATAAATTGCACAAATGCCAATGCATTTACACACAAATTAAACCAAAGCAATCCAACACACAATCATAAAACATGCACCAGTACCGCGGGTAGCCAACAGCGAGCAAAGGAAGTTGCTTCAATTAACAAAACAACGACTGCGAACAGCTCTAAAATGACATCACACAATTTCCACTTTCATTTCTTTAAACATTTTTCCACACACTTGTGCAGTTTGCCCTAAAAAATAGAGCGAATTTACGTATTTTCGTTGCACAGTAGACGGATTGGCGGCACGCAATATGCGTTTTTGCAAAATTGTTAATTTTTTAAATGCTTAATTTATTTATTCCAAACAAAAAATCAACCCGCAATCACGTCGTCGCACTACGCGAGTTTGTTACGGAATGCGCAATAGTGGTGGAATGCAAACCCAATTATCGATAGCTGAAAGATTGTACCACCATCGATGAGCTCTTGATATTATCGATGTACTCTAAACAAAACCAAAATAATTAAAAACTCCCTTTTTGTAAATTATTTAAGTAAAAATAAAGGTATGTGAGCCAACAATGTGCCTAGAATGTTTTGCCTTTTAGATATTCTACTCAAATTAATTTCCAGCTGTGTAGCCGACTCAGGTTAAGTATTAAAATACCGTATGCGGCGCTGCCAAGCCGTTAAAGTTTGACAGCTAGCAAACAGCTGGCTTTGTAGTAGTTTGCCAAACGGATCACAATTCAGATGTTCTCAAATGGAAAATCGTTGTAAATTTGCGTTTAAGAATGTCGAACTACAGCACATTCACTACTAACTAACGAACAAATCAGTGTTAGTCTAAGTAGACGTAGGCAAAATATAAGTACGCGTTTTCTCATATTTTTCGCTGCTGCGTGTGTGTTGCGCAAAAATGTTCTGGTATTGCGAAATTGGCAGCAGACAAAAGGCATACACTAGAACAACAACAGTGACAGTTACAATAAAAAGACATTAGGAAACACATGCGTTGCATTGCAACGCAAATTACGAAACCTTCACTTAGAAATTAGATTTAGGCCGTAGTTTAAGGAGCGCAACAGCAATTAGTATTGAGTTTCTGTGGGTTAACCTGTTGGAAGTTGGCAAAAGGAAAAGGTGCGTGAACAGCTGCGTCGGCTACGTGCGTGGGCGGCGGCGACGCTGTTGAAAACAAAAACGTAATCGTACTAAAAAAAAGAAGAAAAAAAACTTGAAACCTAGCAACAACAAACTGAAACTTAAGTGAATTGTAAACTGAGCTAAAACACGATATGGAAATGCGCGAGGTGCTTAGTCGTGAGGGGCGCGAGGCAAAGAATTTGCTCGTCTACCAGTTTTGCGACGAGACGACCACAAACAACAACAGCAATGGCAATTTGAGCGGAGGCGGAGGCGTTGGCATCGATGTCGTCGTCAATGGCGACTGTAAGTTGGAGTTTTGCCCATATCGATCACGAAAAGAAAAAATTATGCTCACTTTGCGATTTCGTTTTCAGGTTACCAGGCGTCTGCTGCTGGTTCCGCTTGCCGCAAGCCGCCCATGGCACCGCCCAAGTCGCCAAATGGCATGCAAACGCCGAAAAAATGCCAATCGCCCACCATTGCACGCACCAAGAGCAACAGCGGCAGCGGGGGTACGAACGGCAAAAATGGAGGACCACGTGTGCGTAGCGCGTCCACGGGCCGAGACAAGAAGTCGGAGCTGCAGGCACGCTACTGGGCGCTGCTTTTTGGCAATTTACAGCGCGCTGTCAACGAAATTTATCAGACTGTCGAGTGTTACGAAAACATATCTTCCTGCCAGGAGGCCATACTGGTCCTCGAGAACTATGTGCGTGACTTCAAGGCCTTGAGCGAGTGGTTCAAGGTATCCTGGGACTATGAGTCACGGCCCTTGCAGCAACGTCCACAGAGTCTGGCCTGGGAGGTGCGCAAAAGCAATCCCACGCCACGCGTTCGCACGAAAAGCTTGTGCAGTCCCACAACTTCCGGCAAATCTAGTCCGGCCCTATACGTCTGCAATTCGGGAAAGACTTCGCCCTGCTGTGATGGAAATGTGTCGCCAAAGAAAATGTTGCGTGCGTACGATCAAGTGCCAAAAGGAGCGATGCGCGTCAATGTACGTGAACTCTTCGCAGCCAGTAAACGTGCAGGACAAGGCTCAAGTTCGGAAACATCATTACATCCGCCCATGCTCGAGGCACCGCAGCCGGAGCTTAGTACAGACAAGCCCTATGTGCAGCTAAACACGCAATACTCGCAAACTGATCTGGAGGACCCGCATCTTACACTAGCCGATGTACGTGAAAAGATGCGCCTTGAGGCGGAAGAACGCGAAGCGGCCGCTGCAGCCGCCGCTGAAGCTGCTGCCTTAGAGGACCAGGGACAGAATGTGGAAATAATGGTTGAGAAGCAGGAGCAAGTTGAACAATTAGAGGCGATTTCTGCAACTAAAGGTAACCATTAAGCACCAGTTTTAAGTATATACTAATGTGAGTCTACAATTATAGAACTACCAACAGTTGTTATAAGCGAAACCGAGACAAAAATTGAAGCTGTTGACGAACCTCCGCAAGAAAAGGTGAATCTCCCTACACTAGCGGAGCCGGTAGTGCAGGAAGAGGATGCTAAAGCTAGTCCAGCATCAGATATAGAACCGATTAAGGTGGAGCCTACAGCTGTCGAGCTGACTGTGGCACGTCTAGACGAGATGGAGAACGCTCTGCTCGCACAACAGGCCAAAAAGGAGCCTACGCCGCCCACAACTGTGGTCAAGCCGGTCGCAGAGTTGTTCAAAAAACCACAACCCCTCGCACCACTCAGCACCAACAGCAATAACACAGCTGCACAGAACAGTCCCTTAAAATACTCCAGTGTGCTAAATCGTCCTGCAACATCGCGTGCAAACAACCAAAAGACAGGGCAACAGACCACTGCTACAACTACGCCTACTGCCAATACTGTTAAGCCCACAACAGTCGCAGGCAAAGTGGCAGCGCCCGCCATAAACGGCCTGCGCCGTACGGCGAACAATAACAGCAACAATAACAACAGTAACAGCAACCAAGTTAAGCCAGTAGCCGGACGCGTCGCACGCAACTCGGGTGGCTCCCAAGTGCAGCCCCCGCCACGTCCCTCGAGCAAAACCGAGTGCTATGGACCACCTAATAATGTGGCCTCACGTCTCTCGGCCCGTTCACGCACAATGCTGGACATGAATGGCAATCCGCCCAGTGCCAACAATGCCAGCCACGCAAAATCACTGCCTAAACGTGCAACCACAACTCTGACCACCACTGCGCAGTCCCAAGCCACGCGCCGGGGAACCGCGGCGGTTGGGGCCAGCCTTAAGGGCAGCTCTCGCGAGGATATTGGCAGCTCCACATCCACGCTGAAGGCCAGCAATGAGCAGCTGGCCAGCTCACGGAGCACGCTTAAATTGGACGAACGGCATTCGGAGCCGAAGCAGCTATCCTCGGACGCCAATGATGGGTGGCTGACAGTGAAGAATAGACGACGATCCAGCATGCATTGGGCCAATCGCTTCAATCAGCCCACTGGGTATGCCAGTTTGCCAACGCTGACACTGCTCAACGAGCAGAAGGAGCAGGAGGAGAAGCAGAAGCAAGAAAAGGAGGAAAAAGAGAAGACGATTGGGGCCAAACCCGCAGTTAAATCGGCACCGGTTAAAACGGCAGAGACTAAACCTAAAATAGCCAAGGCAGCTAAGCCTTCAGAGAAAGTGAAGCAATTGGCTTCGGTCCCAGCACGTCCGGAAATTAAGAATGCAAAGGCCAAGGTGAACTCGTTTCTCAAAACGAGCAATAATAGCAACAATGTGAAAAACGCAGAGAAAACCAAACCCATGATCTCCAATGCCACACGCAGCACTAGCAGCTCAAACAACAACACCAACAGCACTGTAGATAGTCGCGCAGCTACAATCAAACGCCAGAAATCGGATCTGACTGGACTCAAGATGACCTCGCTGCACAAAGAGTATATGAGAAGCGAGAAGAATGCCTTGCGCAAGCAGCAGAAGGAGCACAAGCAGAGCTCCAATATCAGCTCGTCTTCGGAGACAGTCGTGGATGGTAAGTGGTCGCTGAGCATTCTTTTGTAAGCTTCAGCCGTCTAAGGTATCACTAAAATCTAATTTAAACCAAAATTATATTGGAAATGTGGCTAGAATTTAATTTATTTAATTCATTTTTCAGCAGCCGTCAGCGATGCAGAAGGTTATGGAGACCATAACAAAATTGACATTAAAATACAAACGAACTGCGAGTTCTCTAAGACCATAGGCGAGCTCTACGAAAGCATTGCGCGTAGCAAGCTGCCCAATGGTTGCGTCAAGGACTTGCAGCTCAGCGCTTGTGATGAGAACGATGAGCAAAATGGCGATGATGGGGACGAGGAGCGCAATGAGCGTATGCTAGTGGAAGTGCAAGAGTCGCTGGAGCGACAAATACGTGAGCTAGAAAGCACCGAGATTGATGTGGACACGGAAACCGATGAGACCGATTGCGAAGTGGTGCTGGAGGATCACGAGGACAACGCAGAGCTGGCGATTGATGATGCCTCAGCCGTAGTCTTTGTCACGATGAGCGATGATGAAAACACTAGTTTAGAGCTGCGCTATCAGGCCCTTCTCTCCGAGATGTCCTGGAATGAGCGTGCGGAGACGTTGGCCACGCTGCAGGCTTATGTGGCACGTCATCCGGGACGCGCCCAGGAGCTGCACCAGAAGCTTTCCTCGCCCTCTCGTCGTCGCTCACTGCAGGAAACACTGAAGAAATATCAAGCCAAACAGGCTCGCGCGCAACAGAAGCGCGACCTGCTTCAAAAAGAGAAAGCTGCCAAATTGCAACAACTTTTTGCACGCGTCGAGGATGTAAAGGCGGCCCAGAAGCAGTTGATTGAGGACAAGCGTCAGAAAATGGAGGGACGGTTGCAACGTGCCGCTGAAAATCGGGAGCAATATTTACGCCAAATTATCGAGAAAGCTCATGACGAGGAGAAGAAACTGAAGGAAATTAATTTTATACGTAACATAGAGGCGCAGAACAAACGTCTAGATCTGCAGGAATCCTGTAAGGAAACCGAGGGTCGACTGCAAGATCTGGAACAGGAACGACAAAAGCGTGTGGAGGAAAAGGCAGCAAAAGAAGCGGCGGTGGAGAGACGCCGTCAGGCTCTAGAAAAAGAGCGCCTTTTAAAGCTAGAGAAAATGAACGAGACGCGACTGGAGAAGGAACAGCGCATAGGCAAGATGCAGGAACAAAAGGAGCGTGAGCGTCAGGCGCTGGCCCGTGAGAAGGCACGAGATCGCGAGGAGCGACGCTTTGCCCGCCAAGTGCAGCAACAGCAGACCACAGAGGAACTTCAGCGCAAAATAGAGCAAAAACAAAAGGAATCACAACGTCGCCACGAAGAGAATATTGAGCAGATTAGACAGCGTGCCTTGGAGCTGACTATACCCACACGTAATACTGACGAGCAGCGCGGCGATCAGGAGGAGGATGAGGAACTCAGTGCCAATGCTGCAGCTGTTACAATCAACGAGGATTGTGATATGTCTTCTACCCTGTCCGATGTGGGCGGCAGTCGCGAGCACTCACGCAGCTTCAAAAAGAAGATGAAGAAGCTGCGTCAACGCATGTCCCAATGGTTAGTAGTCTCACATTTTGATTTATGTGATGAGTAGGCTAGCTTGTGTAGAAACTGTGGTAGGCCCTCAATAAGAGATACAAATTGCAAACGATGCTTGTTTGTCTGTATGAACGTTGATGTTTGCCAGACTATTCGAAGTAGAGTCTTTAAACACATCTATTATTCTTACTTCGTTTATTCCTTATTGTTATAAATGATATTTCATTTATAATTTGTTGAGTGGAGCTAAAATTTGGGCATAATCAATCAAGTACATATTGAATGTAGACCAGTTGAGCTAGATATACAGAAATTGAAATACAAATCATTATTATTTCATTGCTTAGCAATTCCATGATATATAATACATATCATATAGTTGGACCGCATTGATTAGAAAACCTACCTAGAGTGACATTTTCGTTTCTTGGGATATTCCAAAGATATTAAACATCATATTTTAATATATTCGAGCTCAGTTTAAAAACACTCGATTAATTATTTTATTATGCTTATTTGTTTAGTATCATATTTGTAACGCTTTGTTTTTTTCTTCCAGTGCCGCTGAATATTTGGCTGGTTTGGAACCGCTACCAGCTCATGTAAAGCGTGATAGCAGTGTACCCAAGTTGCTGAATCTGGTCATTAAAGGTGGTGGGGCTCAGGGTCTTGATCGCACGCTGGGCAATCTGCTGCGAGTGATACCCAAGGCCCAGACCGTGGACTTTCAAGCCTTTCTCAATATGGATGGCCTAGGTATATTGGCTAGTCATGTGATAAGCAAAGGCCTGGACGAAAACTCTGAGATCTCAAGGAAGTGAGTGATCCCATAACTTTTTCTAGAAACTCTCCTTTTCTATAGCGTTATTTGTTGGAATCTCTTTGCAGATCTACCACATTGGCCGTGCAGTTGTATCGGAATGCCTGCTCCGTGTGTCCACAAATTGCTCGGCACGCCTTGTTGGGCAACTCCATCACAATAATGTTCGATGCCATCGTCAAAAGTTTCCAGGTGAGTTAAAGAACAATAAAAGTGTCGCCAGATTGGCGACTGGAGCTGCGACTTGAACTTGTTTTGGCTGCAATTCCCCAGCGTCGCCTTCAACTTGGCACTGGCACTGGTCCTGGCCTGCTCTCTGCTCTACTCTACTCTACCCTGCCCGACTCTGTGTATCTGTTTGTCTGTCTGTTAAATGTCCCGACCTGCTTGCCAGCCACTTAACACTTGGCCGCGCTTGGCGCTTTTTAAGTTTAATGTTTATGTTTTCGTTTGGGTTTTTTTTTTTTGTTTATTTGCCATTTCTTTGACGCTTTTATTTCATGCGCCTTGCCGCCTGATTTCGACGACACTCTAGTGTGCTTGTGTGGCATTTTTATTCGAATTTTATTTACTGGCTGCGTCGTCGACTGGTCGCCTGGCCTATAAATTGTTGGCCCCATCTCTCTCGGCGACTAGCGCTGCCATGCGCCAATTTGTCAGTGTTTGGCAGCAGTTGGCCTTTTCCCTTTGTTTTTAGTTTTTTTTTTTGTAAAGCGCGACGATTTAAATGTTTATACGATGTGCGTATGTACGGTGATACTTCGTTATATTGAATGATGAATTTTAATTACACTTTTATCTAAAATAAGTAGTAAACATATATCCTATGGCTTGTTAACAAAAATAATATTTGATGGCAGAAAATCAAAGAAAAACATTGTAGCCTTTCTTAAATATATGCATATGTAGAATGCCAGGGCCACACGGATAGTCCATGTTAGTAATTTGTCGTAATAGAAAAGTTTCTTAAGTTGTATGCCTTAGCTGGACTTTAAATAAAACTTCTGTACATTCGTGTAGGATTGATGGATTATAAAAGAATAATACGATTGGTAGCCTTTTTTCTTTGTTAAGAATATTTATTCATTACCCTAATTTAAATTGTTTACGTCTCTAAATATTGGACTCATTTCGAATTTTATTAAAATTATCGTATTAAGGGAGTTCACTTTTTATTCAATTTTATTTAGAAATCATAGAATTCGATACGATATAAAAATAATTTGTATTATTCCTGAAGCTTTTTGAGACAGAAGCTATATTTAAGTATAGAATTATTGCTTGGTTTTATAGTGACAGTTTTATTAGATTCAATTATCCAAATTCCTATGTAGATTGATCATACTTTATCGCCAGAAAGTGTTATTAAGTCAACACATCAGCATAGAAATGAGAGAGCTGCTTAAAAATATTTATAAATAACAATGACGTCACAATGTCATTTAAAAATTTAACCAAGTCATACAAATAACTAAACTCCAGAAAAAGTGTATTAAATATTACGTCATGCAAAAAACTATATTTTACATTAATTTAATCGACAAACTTAAATTATTTTTCCTTTACTTTCTGGTAAATTCTTTATGGAGAATCTTCACTGTAATATTCACAGTTCGAGGCAGTTGTGAAAAATGCCAACTCCCCCCCCCCCCCCCCTCCCCCCCCGCGCGTTTGTGTTATTTCTTTTGGATACTTGGTTGTTTTTTATTTTATAAAAATATTTTTTCAATGCGGCACTTTCAATTCCGCACACACCTTCTTCCCCTTCCTTCGCTGATGAAGCGCGCCCACGTGACTTGGCGTGTAAATATGTAAATGCGAAAAATCAATTAATAATTTGATTGATGTGGCTTGCGCATTTGCAATTGTTTTAATTTGATAAACGCCAGCTTGTTTTTGGCGCTCAATTTAATTATCACGCCCAAAAGCATGCAACAATTGTGTTATGCTGCAAATAACTTGCCGCACCAACAACAACAAGAGCAGAGCACAAACACTTGGAAGAAGAAGAAACTGAACTTAAAGCCGCCATTGTGTTGTCACTTTTGACTTTTGTCAGCTTTAATTGCGGCTGTTCCTTAACTTCTTCTTCTTCTTCTTCGTCTTCTTGTTCATGTATAGCCACATTTATGTTTTCTTATCTTTTGTGTTGTTGTTATTATTACTAATATTGTTGTTGTTGTTGTTGTCGCCGTTCTTGTTCCTTTTGCAGTTACCCGAAGAAAAATCACCACAACATCCGGTCGAGTTATCCACCGAGCTAATGCTGGCATGCACCGAAGCGCTATCATCGAGCTACGTGAAGAAAAACACCCACCCTAAAGTACCGGAACGCCTACCGGACATGATAAAGTGAGTACAACAAAAGCAACAGCGAGGCAATATAACAACAAGTAGAATGAACTTCTTTTTGTTATATATGCGCATGTGTGTGTGTGTGTTTAAAAAAAAAAACGACGAAGAAAAGTCGTATGAAGGGGAAATATTCGAACTTCAGTTTCGAAAATGCGTGCATTTGCGTGCAAGCAGGATGGCATTAATAGCTGCTATAACTGTCCTACTCTAACGCATGCAGTGGGCGTGGCTGTTTGCGGAGTGAGCGAGCTAGCTATAGCTGTGTGCGTTTATACATATATATTTGTGTGTGTGTGTATGTAAATCGGTCTTATCTATGTGTTAATATATGTATATATTTATGTAAATATGCCGACGCCGTAGTCGGCGTTGTCGTTGTCGTCGTCGTCGGCGACATCGTTTGCGTTTAGCCGCAACGTTAATCGTTTGGCGCTACGTCAAACGTAACGGCGATTTTGGGAACAGAGTGAGATTTCAGCTGAGACTGAGACTGGGACGCGACTTGAACAGCGACGACTGCTCCTTGCGCGGCGAGGCAGACGTTTATGCCGCTGCCGGCTTTATGTGTACATGCGCTTATGCCAGCTACGACTTGACTATATAGCCAGTATACCCAGTCCATTGTTTTTGCTATTGCGCTTTCAACACACACCATCAAGTTGCCATTTTGTGCCATGGTTTTTGTTGTTGTTGCTGTTGCTGCTGCTCCGAGCTTGCGTTTTTATGATTGCGGCAATGATGATGGTTGCAGCAATTCTTATTGCTGTTGTTTTTGTTGTTGTTGCGCTTTAATTTTTGCAACTTTAATGTGTGTTTCATTTGTACTTCGTTGTTCGTTTGTTCATTCGTTTTCGCCATTCTTTCAATTCCCATTTCCGCTTGTTTTTCTTTAATTTGCGCCTTATTTTTGTATGTGTGTGTCGGTCTATGTGAGCGTGTGTGTGTGTGTATGTGTTTGCGTTTGCCATTGTTGTTGGCCATGCAAAAGTTTTAATCGAATTGTTGTTGTTGTTGTTTTGGCCACTGCTGCGCGCCAGTTTTTTAAATAAAAAAACACACACACACATGCACAAAACTCACGCTTGGACTGCCATTTTGTTTATTTTCGCACAAATTGAATCTTTTGTATGCTGTTATTGTTGTTGCTGCTCTGTTCATTGTTATAAAAACTTTGTTGTTATGCATTTTGCTGCCTTCAGCTTTTGTTGTAGTTTTCGTTGTTGCTGCCATGTATGTATGTATGTATGTATATGGTGTTGTCTGTTGCTTTTTGTCCATTTCGTTTATTTTTTCGATTTTTAGTTTTTTTTTTTGGGCCCCACATAGTCTTTTGTTTTGCTGTGTTTTGCACGCTAGTAAAAACATTTTGTTTATCCTTTGTGCGCTGTCGTGTGCACCCGTACCCGTACCCGTAGCTGCCCCTTCCCCTCCTTGCTTATTGCTTTTCGTGCTGTTAGTCCATTTGCTGGCCGCGTAGTTTTTGCTTCTATTTTGTTCATTTATTTTCTCTTCTTTTTATCAATTTCGTTTGTTTATATTTTCAATTTGCTTACAAAAGCTTTTCGTTTATTTTATTAGCAGATTTCAGCAGCCATTGTTATGCCCCTGAGTCTATGTGTGTAAGTGTGTGTGTGTGTGTATATGCGCGCCTGTTTAGTGCCTTCTGTGGTTGTGGTTGTGTGTCTTCTTTATTTTTTGTAGCGCGCTTTTCTGCGCTCAATTCAATTACAAAGCGAACGAAATTCGCTCTGTGTGTATGGGTGCATGGGTGTGAGGGTGTGTGTGTGTGTGTGTGGGTGTGTGTGTGTACCTTGCAGCAAAATCAAATTTCCTTGGCTATAATTTTTTGGGTTGCCTGGCCTGCCCCTCTGCACCCCTCTTCCAGGCCATCCATTCCATTCACATACACATATACATTCACCCTGCGCCATTTTGACAAACTTAGACGAAATAAAAATCCAATTCGTCGAGCTTCAATGGGGGCCCGCATAAACTTGAATTCAACGTGGCTATAGAAAAGTTTTTGTTGTTACTGATGTTGTTGTAACATTCTTTTGTTGTAATTCAATTTCAGCTTTTGGCTGGGCCACTCTTTATACCCTCCATTCCTTTCATCGTCTCTCATCTCCACACTGTTGCTACGTGCAGCTTTTGTAGCTGCATAATTAAATTTTTGTTTACTTTTAATTGGCGCGAGTTGAAAGTGGAAGATAAATGAAGAAAGAGAGAAATACAGACAGACAGACAGAGAGAGAGAAAGAGAGAGAGAGAGAGAGAGAGGGAACGAGTGCGAATAGCAACGAATGAAAAGCCCGCGTGGACAGCACAAAACTTTTGTACAAATGTAGCAAAAATTTGATTTTAATTATAAATTTGATGCTTGCAATTAAATCAAGTGACTGACTTCACTTGGCCCCTTTCTCTCAATTCCCGAAGTGCTGCCTTTTATAAATTACATACCTACATACATACATATGTGTGTACTCTCAACATTTGGTTAGAGTTTTGTATTTTCTAGTTGCAGTTTTGAATTTTGCACAAATTTGGCCCAAAAGCCCACACCAATACGAACAGCACACGCTTACATAGGAAGATGTAAATTTGGTTTTTCGTTTGCATTGCCAAGCCAAATTTTATGCAATCATTGCAGTGCGAATATTTGTCGAGCTAAGCTTAAGACGAGATTCGATTAAATTCCGAATTTAAAAATGAAATAATATGCCCAATAGTGCAGCCAATTTATGCATTATGTATCATTTATGTATCTTATCTGGGAAACAAATTGCTATTATAAATTAGGTAATGCGTTTGGGCTCTTATGATATGACATACTTTAAAGTATATCTAGAAAGATAAGGAAGATTTATGCTTCTACTAAAACAGTTAATACAGCAGCTATAGTTATAGCTTTAAATTTCGAAGTATTCCATGTTCTCGAGATCTGACAAAAGATTAGCTCTAACTAATATTTTAAAGCTTGTTGCTTGATGAGCAAAACATATTCACACATATTATTACTTCTTTATATTCTTCCCCAAATTTAATTTGGTTTAATCATGTCCAAAATAATAATTAGAAATGTAGCGCTGCCCATATTTTGAACCATTTATGGACAAGCTTCATATTAGTGTGCATTTGAACCGGTTATGAATTAATAATGAATCAGTTTCGAACCGGTTTTGAGCTAAAAATTTATTTAACTCCATACCACTGGCCTATATACCATTTTCAACTTCATAGCCTAAGTATATTTGTAGAAAAATGTCTAAACCAGGTTCAAAACCAGTTGTAAGCCTATAAACCTTTGAACAGGTCTGATTTCGAATTCATAGACCAATGTTTACTAAGGTTTTCAAAACTATTTAAAAACTTAAGCTACAAATTCTTTACGATGGACATGTATTTTAAATTATTGTGTACATAAATGATTCGGTTCAAATTTTAACTCTATAGTTCAACATTTAAATGTGTTTTCTACCGATTGAGTGAATATTTTCACCCGTTCTAGATAAACTTAATATTCTGTTATATCTTGCGATGTGAAGCTGCGCAGTTGAGTTTTTGCTATTCCTAGTTTATTTGTCTCCAATTCTCATATTCTGCTCTTCGCTTTTTACCAAAACCCAACTACAAGTAATTTGAACACAATCTTTGCTCATCACTTATCGCCCACCTTCAAAAGACAGCGCTGCTGTTTAGCTACCCATAACAAATTATGACTTCACCTCAATATTTCATAGAGGTCTAACAATCTTTTTTACAATGTAATTGATTCATAATTAATCAACATAATCATTAGCCAGGCAGTCAGGCAGCCAAGCAGCCACCAGTAATCATCATCATTATCATTGTAAGCAGGAGGCAGTGAGGTAGAAGAGCAGTGAGCAGTGAGGAGCAGAAGCAGCTCATAAAAAGCTGCAAATATTTTAATCATGTTTTTATCATCAATTCAGCGGGGCGCGCGCGTTCTAAACAAATAAAAAAGGCAACGGCAATCATAACGATGATTTGACACGCGATAAGCTTGTACCGCTTCAACCCCCATATACATAAACGAATACTATATACGAGTATATGGTGAATTCATTTTCAACCCGCTGCCCCCTTTAGAAATGCATACAAAATATGGAAAGGCAGTACTGCTGCTGCTGCTGCTGCTGCTACTGGAAAAGGAAAGATGTAAAAAAATTGGCCTGCTGTGAAGCGCCGCGTGTCCTTTTGTTTGTCAGCCTGGCTGGGCTGCTGCTCTGTGGATGTCAACATTGACAACACGCTGAGGCGATTGCTGCTGCTGCTAATGTTGTTATTATTGTTATTGTTGCTGTTGTGCACAGTTAATTTAATTACCCTTTAAGTAACCATATCGAATGGCCATTTGGATTTATGCAGTTTAGAGCAGCCAACCAACTAGTATCCTGCGTCCTTCGTGTCAACTTCAATGTCTGAACTTTGGCTCAAACCCCATCCTATCAAATACATCCCATCCTATCCCATGCTATACCATTGTTTCATCGGCACGTGTGTGGGTTTTATTTTACCAACGATATATTAGTGCATCTATTTGGAACCAAACCCCCTTGATTTTCTCCCATTCTTCTAGCTGCCTGACTGACTGACTGCAGTCTCTCTGTCACTAGTTAGTCTGTCTGTCTGTCTGTCTTTCTTTCCGTTCTGTCCTGTGCTGTCTGTCCTCCAACGTTCCCATATTAATTTCATGTGTGGCACATTCTGCACATTTTGTTCTTTGTTCGCCTCTTCAGCTTGGCCCTCTCTTTGTTGTGTTTATTGTTTGTTGTGCATTTAATATCCGATTTCAAGTTTTTGTTGATTTTTGAAAAGGCATTGAAAATTTCTTACAGTGTAGTTGTCATCGTCCTCGCTTTGTGTTTGAACGAGCAAAGTTTTTGTATTTACCCAGCGTAGTCGCTCCCTTAATTTTCTTCGTTTTCCTTTCTTTCTTTTCTCCTTTCCTGCCGTCCCTCAAATCATAATATTGA